AAGTTTTTTGAGATTGTTGATTTTACTTAACATTTTGACAGATTTAATTAATTTCATTAATTCATGATAAATTTCTTTAGCCTGATCTTTCAACTTTCTGTTGCTTCTATTCAATGTTTTAAATAATTCATAACATTGCGTACTATTTATTAATTCATATTAACTCATATTTCTTAATAATTGCTAATCCATCAATTACTTTTTTGCATTTTCTCTATATTAACTAATATTAAATTATGCTTATTCTGAGTTTTTGCGCATTACATATCGATTTTCTGATTTTAATAATTAATATTGTAATAATTTGTGCTTTATATAAATTTAGCACCGAATGGACGAAAATTTGACCAAAGAAGTGAGTACTAGTAATGACTTTGTCAAGCAGACTGTATTTTATTTACTCGAATTATGCTAATTTTTAGATGTTTATTTTTCTGCTTATTAATTAGCTTCTCAACCATTTTCAAAGTATAACAGAAAGCTTAATCGACTAGATTGCTTACTATTTTTATTGTTTTTGTGAAAATACTAGTTAATGAATGAATTTATTTTAATACTTTGTGGAAGATTTTTTTCATTATTGTTTTTGTTTGTATTTTAGTTTTAATAGATGTCATAATTTAATTAAGTGTATAAAACATTCTACTGAAATAGAATTGAAATGGTTTAATTGAATATTGCGATAAAAATAATCAAATTAATAACTTTAAAGAGTTGTTTTGGTTCCTAAGGCGGATAATATTTTTGCTTTTAGCTTAGAATATTTGACGCAGTGTGAAATAAATTTGAAATTGTAAACAGAAGACGGAAAAAATTTTTAGAAGCATTCATTTAGCTGAAGATCACTGATAGTAAGCAAGCTTGACTGCTTTTCACTACTGTCAGCAATCCATTAATTTTTTTTAACAGCTGATTTTTGACTTTTTTAAATTACTTTAATAAAATATTTGAAAATTAAGATACTTATAATTGAAACTATTAAATTATTTTCAGTTTTTATCATTTCAATCACTTTTAAAAACTGTTTTGAATTTTTTGAGATTAAGCTTCAGCATAAAATTAAGTTTAACGTTATGAATACAATTATTGATTATACGTTTTTACTTTTTTAAGTAAAAACTTAAAAAACACTTAAATTTGTAAGCAATTAAAGGCTAATAATATTTTTGAGATTAAACAAAAATTTTGTCAATCTTCGGTTTAAAATTATAATTTTTCAGGTGGTAAATGATTACGAGCTTTTATCAAATAATCACGAAAAAGAGAGCACAAGTCAAGCACAGGTACTTTTTATATATATAAATATAGATATTAAGTAAATATTTTTGTATACAAAATGATTAATTTGCAAAAAGTATGCAAAAAATATCTGAAAAAGCAATGAGGGAATTAAAAATTGAATTCAAAAATAAAGTAATTTGAAGCAACTGCCCTAAAATTCGATTGTCAGCTCTCGATGAAATGCAGTGTTTTTTTATCGTTAAGTGATTTTCTATTGGTACATTATGAAGTTATAAAATATTGAATATTAAAACTAAATCAACTCAAAGAAAAATTGAAAAACATTAGTGTATGAAAATTGATGCCTGACTGGCAGTTTTGATCTAAGCCAGGAATCTAGGCTTAGAAAGCTTAATCTAACTCTCGAGATAAGCTTAAATGCTTTGTAGGGGCCTTTTTTTAACTTAGAGCTTTTATATTAGTTTTAAATTGAAAAAAAGCTTTCATTTGTTTCAAATATATTTGGCACATTGCATCAAAAACAATCTTTTCCATTTTTACATCAATTTTTTGCCTTTTTTATTTATGCAAATTTTTGCCACATCATTTAAATAACTATTTGTATTATATTGTAACGGTATAATATATAATAATATAATAGAAATAGTTAGTATAATATTATTTTATAACAGAAATATTTATTCTAATGATATGGCAAAAGTTTTCATCTTTATTACCAACTCAATTTAGAACTTTAGCTAATATTAGCTTAAGTTGACTTTTACAATCATTTAAAAATGTAATCATATTTATATGTGCAAACTTTTGTTAACAAATATTTTTAAATTTTTTGCAAATTAGTACAAATCAATTTAAAGTTAGCTCAAACTTATTTTCACACAGCATTATTGGTCGACAAATTTTCGCTCTGCCATTCTTTTTCTCACTTTGCGTTTTTTTTAAATATTTTTTCATATTGCTTAAAAAATTTGTAAGAAAATTGGTAATGAATTATTTAGCAAAGTTAGACGATAAAAATTAAACTTTTCATACACTATTGGAAGCTTTATCCTTTTTTTTCCAATGCAAACTTTTAGGCTTAGACTAAATTTACTTTTGTGATTATTACTTTTTGAAATTTTATACCTTAGATTTTTCAGTTATAATTTGCTATTGATCTTTACATTTTTAACAATTGATTGTTATTAATTGGTCAAAAATGACAATTTTTATCTCTTATCACTGGCGTAAGAAGTTCATTCTGAGCATTCAAATGTTTTCATAAAATCTCTTATCAATCCCTTACTACTAATCAAAGAGCAAATGTAATTGGAAGCAAAGATTAAGCTTTACTGATTTTTTGATAAGAGATCAGATCAAAACGTAATCAGAAATAAATTGATATGTAAAGAATGAGCTGTAAGTGGAATAATGAAACATTTTTTGAGGTTAAATAGTACTAAGTATTAATTGCAGTTGGCATTTTGTGATGGTAAGGGAGCAGAAATAAATTTAACTTTTATCCAAATAAGTAATAATTTTAAAATTTATTAGCAGTTATTAATTTATTATATGTTGTAGTTTTTTTTTCAATTTTAATATAATTAAGAAAAAAAGCTGTATTTTGGTTTCTCGAGAATATTCTTCAGATATTCTATTTTTTTTGAGCGCGGAAGAAATCAAACAAGTAAGTAAACAAATAAGTAACTTCATAAGTGCTTCATTTTTACTCTTCTAAAAAACTTCTCGTCATACTCGTTTTTTTTTTGCTAGTGGTTGGAAGTAAATAGTAGATTGCGTACTTTGTTCAAACGTGTAGTTTCTATCATTTTTTTTGAGTGAGTCGTTCTGCGTGTTAAAACCAATGTTCACGTAAATTCATTCAGTTGAGACGAAAGTTTCATGATTTCATGATAAAATTCCATTATTCAAGCATGTTTTAATTATACGAAAATATGGAACGGGAACTTCTTATCAAGTGTTCTTCATGCTAATCACTCAATCACTACTGTACTAACTTTATTCTCTCAAAAATTTTTTTTGGGCGCAAAATAAATCATTAATTATCCTCATAATAGATATTTCCATAAAATTAAGATTATACATGCAATACTTTACTGCTTGATCTGCTTTTAGCTTTACTATCGAGAAAATCTCATGATAATATCAATTTGAAAAATTTTTTTTTGCATTTGTTTTTGGATCAATTATTTAATCTGATCAATCGTTAGATCAGTGATTTTAATTTGTATAAAACATTTTGTAAAGTATATACTAAATGTTAAGTATTCGCGATTGAATTCTTCCAATTTATATAATCCTATGTTACTGCTTGATCTGATTACCCTTTGGATGTTTTCTAATGTTAAATTTAGCCTCCTTTTTATTACTAAAAATTTGCAAAAATTTCAAATTCATCCAAAGTTACCTTTCTAAATGCTTTACCATGACATCGTGCATCTTCGATCTTGTTTCAATAATAACAGAAACAATTCTTGTATAACTTTTAACATTATTATTATAAAACCTATGCCAATTTCGGGCTTCTTTTATTGTAAGTTTAAAATTACATTAATTTTGTTAGTTAATGCAAATAAATCTTTAAAAAATGTCATTAAATCAACAATATTTAGCAGATAAATACAATTTTTGAATTTGCTATTCAAAAAAATATGCAGAAATTGTTTACATGAAGTTAATGGATGATGTATGGGAAAGGGTATTTGTTCATTTTTATTCAGTTCTATTACGTATGTACTCAAATTTAACCTTTCATAACTAATAATTTTAATGTATAAAACATTTTGTGCTCGAAGGACAAATGCCAGTCATATTTTTACTTTTTCTAATTTTTTTTGAAGCAAACATTCCTCTGCTTTTTAATTCCAATGTCATGGCAACCCTTACCTTCGTCAAATATTTTTGTCAATATGACATACATTATTATGAGGTCATTTTCATTATATTTGTGTATTTTAAAAATTATAATATATGCATGTGAGCAACGTGTGTGTGTGAATACGGTCTCTCTACGTGTATGCAACGTGTGTGTAAATGCATTCTCTCTGCGTGTGTGCGACGTGTGTGTAAATACGTTCTCTTTGCGTATGTGCAACGTGTGTGTTAATTAAACCCACATTCTCTGTGGGTTTAATTAACTTATTCAAAATTTGTGTAAGTACATCCTCTGTGGGTTTAATTAACTTATTTAAAATTTAATTATAGGTTTAATTATTTTTGTACAAACTGTTCATCACACTTTTAGTAATTATTTTAAATATTTTCAATTATTTTTGCAATTTATATTACCTAATTTAGTGAGTTTATTGCTTTTTTACTTTCCCAAAATTAATTTCTTTCTGTTTTACTAATTATTTGCAATATTATATACTAAAAGAAAAAAACAAAATTGAGCCAAAAGATTGTAGCAATTTAAATTTGTTACGTTTATTAAAACAAGCAAAAATGTGCATTCTTACACTATATAAACAATATAATTTTTCCACGTATACTCGATTATTTTAAGTAATTGATGGAATGAATGTTTTATCGTAAATTTTTTTTCTGTAAATTTGCAATAACTGTTAACTTACGTGCTATTCATTTATTCAGTATTAAAACAGTCTGTACATTTGCTTACTTTTACATAGAAATCGATGACATCGAAAAGTTTACGTAACAAATTTCTATGTCAGTAAAATGTTTGCTATTCAAATGTAATGTTTGTGATACTGTAAGGAACCACGTAGTAGTAGACAGACGTGAACGAGAAAAAATTTATGGTACGCTTGGCTGTAATCGAAGAAGTAATATTTTTTGCTTCCACATAAATATATATTAAAAATTTCGTCGAAAACCAAAAAAACATTGTAATGTTATGTAATCTGCGCAATTTCGAGATAATATTTGTAAAAAAATGCCTTATTTGCATCAATGTTAACTTTTTTGTAAACAATAATACTGTACTCTCAAAATTTGTTGTGATTTTGAACTTTTGCCCTAATTTAATTAATCATTAATTAGTGCCTGAAAAATTGATAAGTGAGATTTACATTTTAAAAAATTGATAAAATATTAGTATGTAGCAGTTTTCTGCTGAAAGAAAATTTTAATAGCTCCAAAAATTTTGTATTTATTCTTTCTGAAAATTTGAATTTTCCACTTTTAAAATAATTTGACTACTTTTTAATTTTAAAATTGCGGCAACTTTCACTTCATTACTGCTTTCGCTCGGTTTAGACCTAAAAAATCACTGCTAGAAGTAAAAAAAATTACCAAAGTTTTCTTTTCTGCAAAAAAGTTTAGGAATTTAGAATAATAATGGATCTTATCATTGATTAATTTTAGCAAATTTAAAAAACTGCACCCAAGGATTTTTTATGAAGCAAAAATATATTAAAGAACGGAGAAGATTTCAAAAATAGTGCTTTCTGAACTATTACTTTGGCATAAAATTATAGGTCAAAAATAAAAATTAAGTATACTTTTTGGTTTTAGCTTGAACTACCAGCGCGTTTGGTGCAAAAAAATATTAGTAAAAATGGCACTAAACGATCACGTAGTCATCCTATACATTCACCAATTCATATCGATAGTGATGATGAAAGTGGTAAATACACGTAAATCTTATTGTTTATAAAAGTATTTAATTACTTACAAAGATAACAGTAGTTTTATAACGTGAATTAATCTTTGTTTGAATTAATTAGTTAAAGAAAAATTCAATAATTAATAATTCAAAATCGAGATTCTTGACTTAATCTCTATAGATGGCGATGGATTGGGACGTGCATTATCACATGTGTCTCGAATGAGTGCTTATGCACTTTTCAATCAGCTTCACGCTTCAGAAACATCTTCATCTAATGATCGAAGCATACGTAGTTCTGTGCATAGTGCATCTTCATCAGTAACTAATTCAAGCACAATTTCAAGTACCGATGAACAGGTAAACTCTATCTAGTCTTGCGCCAATTTTCGTGATCTCGTATCATTAATATGAATGTCACTAATATGAAATCTGATCGCATTGATATGAATATTTTAATAACTCCAATACGTTATGCTAAATATTAAATGTTGTGTTATTTTCGTATATATGCTCTTGTGCAAATTCTGAACAAAATATTTCACGAAAATTACGCTCTAAATACTTTCGTACTATTTTATTAGCCTCATATTTCGTTGATTATTAAACGTGTTTTTGTAGTTCAAGATTAGTAAATTATATTATAATGACTGAAATTTCTTACTACTTCTTTAAAAGTTCGCTGTGGATATCGTAAAAAGTTTCATTTTCATATTATGTTAACTTAATTACTTACCATTAGCACAAAGTATAACAGGATTTTGCTTACTTTTTGATAAATATAACTTTTTTATTGTGCAAAATCAAATACGAATGAAAGTTGCAGTGTATATTATCAGCAGAAGCAGTTTGGGATCATGTAGCAATACTACCTGACGAATTACCATTTGCGATTGGTGATACCATTTTGGTACTTGATTATTCATCACATACTGAACTTTGGTATGGAAGTTGTCGAGAAAGAGTTGGATGGTTTCCATCTTCTTATGTTAGGGCAAGTTTATTTCTGTTTTTTTTTTCTATTTGACTTAATTTATTTTTTATTACTTTAAATAATGCACCAAAATTTGTTTAGTCAAACTTACAAATACAATAGCTATAATTAAGTAAGATATTTCATTGATCAGAATTAGATCAAACAAACAATTACTTCAGGTATTAAGTGGGTCTCCATCAACTTCAGATGCTATCTCCTTCAGTTATTTTCCACAAACGATGCGATTCTTACGAGCAAAAATAGTACAAGAATTGATGCAAACTGAACGTGATTACGTTAACTTGTTACAAAATATTGTTCAAGTATGAATAAATTATACACTCTTGTGTTATTTATGATTTTGTCATAAAGTGTTTTGTAGGAACAAAAATGAAGTTTGAGATATATTTTTCAAATAAGTTCAGTAATCCGACATAATGCAACATTTAAAGTTTTTTTAACTTATTCACTTTCTAAAAGACTAGTATATATGTTTTTTTCTCCATATATATCGTAAAATTTGCAACAAAAATTTGGATCTCATGGATACGTTCACGTTTTAGGGCTTTGTTGAGCAGTGCTGTCGACGTAAAGATCTTTTTTCGCCTGCTCGTGTCAAGCGTCTTTTTGGTAACATTGAATCTATTTACACATTGCACCGCAAATTCCTCCGAGAACTCGAATTAGTATATAAGCTAAACGCTCCCGAAAGTTCGCTTATTGGCGCTATTTTTTTGCGAAATGTGAGCTTTGCTGGGCATTTTGTTAGCTGTATGTTGGAAAAATATATATTGAATATTGAGAAAGTGCTAAACTTTAAGTTATATCTCATGTCATTATCCACTAGTTCTTTTTTTTGGATTAGAACTAGATTCAAAAAAACCTAATTTAAATTTTTATTTTTTCATCAATAAAGTTATAACAGTCATAATTAGTTGCCATTTTAGCAGAAAAAGTTTTCAATATATTCGGATTATTGTAATAATCGACCTGTTTCAAGTGCTGAACTCGCATCGCTTAACGAACATTCACATTATTATCAGTTTTTTGAGGTAATTTGTTGCTTGTGCGTTTATTTACATATACAAAAATGTTTATTTTAATAATTATTTGCTTGCATAATTTTATCTAATTGCTAGTTTTGTAATATTTCGCATTTGTACTGCGTTTACTTTACTGTAAAAAATTTGAATTGAAAATTATTTTACTTAGATATCTTGTAGGCATGTCGATTACTTCGAGGAATGCCTAAGTTACCTTTAGAAGGGTTTTTATTAGCACCTGTTCAGAGGATATGTCGTTATCCGTTGCAGCTTTCTGAGTTACTGAAAGCAACACCATCATCACATATGGATAGAGAACCAGTACAGGTATGCCAATAATAGCATTGAATTTCAGTTTCAGGCACTAGTCACTGTTACAGTCCGTATCATATTTTCTCGTGTTTGTCAAAATTCTAGCAAAATTATACAATTAATAAGAATTAGTTACAAAAAGAAACACTGATAATAGTTATTGACTTCTTGAAGTAGTATATTTTAGTGCATGTTTGAAGTATTCTTATTATTTGAATTATTAATGATAGTTTTGTTTTCAATAAAGAAGATATTTTTTAATTTATTCATTACTAACTTTGGTAGGCAGCCGTATCCGCGATGAAAAATGTGGCTGCTCTGATAAACGAGAAGAAACGCAGGCTTGAAGGTTTGCAACAGATTGCTTTGTGGCAAATGAATGTTGAAGGGTGGAAGGTAAGTGTCATCGAAACTTTGCATAAATTGCAATTGCTATAACTTGGCAAAAATTTTCCAAAGTTATGCAAGTTATTATCATAGTTACTTATTCAAATTTGTAATAAGATTTACTATACAGAATTGAAATAAATCCTATCACTCATTTACTTAATATTTTTGCTTTTTGTTACTAAAATGTTTTACAAGATGTTTTGCAACAAAATAAGTATTTTATTATCAAAAGTGATATAAAAGTGATAAGAGAAAGATGTTGAAAATGACCAATTTAGGGTCCAGATTTACTAGAAAGTAATAGTCGAATGGTACATAGTGGGGAAGTGTACTGTCGCGTGATAGTTGACCGTAGTATTATCTGGAGCAAGGATGTTTTGTTATTTTTATTTGATCAATCGTTAGTGATATGTAAAAAGGATCTCATTAAACGTAATTTTTATATATTTCGTGATCGAATCTCTTTCGACTATGTTACATTTCTGAATTGCGATGATGGCAAAGGTTTGAATTCTTAGTTCGTAAGCTAAATTCTATTCTACTTACAGATTGAATCTAATAAGCACTTTTTAGCTCGATTATTCTTTTTTAGCAATAATTTTTTCTTTATGAATTCAAAGCATTCAAAATTTATCTTATGCTATATTTTTTGAATAAATATATGTTATAGGCTTGGAATTTTCTTAATTGATGCAAATTGTTTAGATTTGGCAACTGGGATAAATTTAAAAAATTCCTGGAAACTAGTAATGATTGGTAAAGAAATGATATTCACTTGTAAAGATCGCAATTTGAAAGATGCTTGGGTTGAACATTTACAGCGACCGCTAAATTATTCACCACCAACTACTGAAGAAAAACGATTAGTTCACGAAATGATTTGTCGAAACTCTAGTATGAATTTAATTTATGATCTGCATAAATTACTGTTTATCGGAGTTATCACAAAATTAGATTAAGACCATTTAATGATTTTTGATTTAAGAGGTAGAACTGAATACAAATTATAACTGTAAGCTGCTGCATTTATATAAAACTTAAGTACCGTTTTGAAGAAAAACTCAAAGCAGAAGTAATTGTTAAGGTTTCAGATAGTAAGTTAACGTGGAGCCACGTAGAAGGCAAAACAAGCGGTCGATTTGCTTGGAAGAAAGCAAAAAACTAATTGAGAATGCATGATTACAAATCAGTACTCTTGCTTGTGATTTTTTACGTCTGGCATTTTTGATTTCTCTGTAATTTGAATTCAAAGAAATTTAATTTAGAATGATAGTGCATTTCAGACACTGACTTCTGATTGCCTAAGAATTTTCAAAATGGCTTATCGTAATCAGTTTCCTTGTTTATTCTCTTTAGCTATTGGTTACTTCTTAATCTAACACATGTTTACTATAAGCATATGCATAAATAAGCCGAGCAGAAAACTGCGGAAACTGGTATTTACGTAAATGGTGCAGACATATTTCGGTATGATTAAATTTGTTCCTCACTTTCGAGCGTTGTTTGTTAGCTGCCTTTATGTATTGTTTACCAATTTATATTTACAGAAGTGATTCGAGTTTAGTTTTATATCCATGCTATAAGCAATCATTCGTTGTGGGCACACATTTCACATGGATCTTTGAGCTCACGGAATCTTCTATGAGAACGTTTCTTCTACATCTTTTAATAAATTTCCGGACTCAGCAATTTTATGAAACAAATATTCTGGATATATTGACAGTACCTTGTCTAGCTACCTTTTCTTCAGTAGCGATGGATCAGATAGTCACACTTGTTGAATGCTGTTATTTGCTTTGCAATTTAGGAGTACAATCTCTATCAAACGTGTAATTTCTTTTGATGCCTTCACAGATTATTTATGAGCGCTTTTCAGACTAGTTCTTTAAAACGCTAAATAAAACAGTCTTGATCAGACTTTCCTATGGATTTCTAAATTAAGGCAATATAATCAACTGCTGCTGATGTAGCAAAATTCCAAACTTACGTAAATGAGTTAGTAGACTTGACATTAGAAATTAGATGTATTATTCCACGCTCTTCAACAGCTAATATTTAGAACATGTAAACAACGATCGTTTCCACAAATTTGTTTTATCTTCAAGCTAAAGTTTTAAATATGTACAATACAAGCATGGACTGTACTTTTTAGTCTTGAAGAAAAAAATTAGCAAAAGTAACTGCAGAGACTCTAGAGGTTTATCCTGGAGCCGTGTAAATAAAGTCAATTAAGCACTCAAAGATGACTAAGAAAGCTGTAATTTATCCCCCTTAATTCTTACTTTAAAAAATGTGAGGAGCGAGAAATGGATTATTTTTAAAACAGGAACAAATTCATAATGGTAGTGAAGATTTATCGCTACTGAGATGATAAAGTTTCCCCAAGTTGTTCCAGAATCTCTTTTCTATAATCTTCAAAATCGCCATCAATTTCAGCAATGTTCTAAAAAAATAGCGAAGATATCATTTGAGTTTTTGAAGGATCGTCTTTTGATAGAAGTTATTTTCATGCAATTTCGATTCTAATGCATAAATGTAGTATTTGCTCAGCAAAAATATTAAAAAGAAAACAAACTTGATCTTCAACGATCCACAATTGACAATTTGTTTCCCTAATCAAACGTTCGTCATGAGTAACCATCACTACACCACCACCAAAACTTTCAATAGCTTCTGCTAATGCATGGATAGATTCGATATCGAGGTTGTTGGTTGGCTCATCCTTAATATGTATATAATTTTATCTACTGAACAAAGAAAAAAGAAGGAATTTTAAGAAAAATAACGAACTAAAATTAACAAATCTGGAGCACCCAAAGCCAGATCAGCGAGAGCAACTCGCGATTTCTGCCCACCAGACAGATCTTTTATTTTGACAGTATGAACAGGACCAGGAAGACCCACCGCACCTAAGCGCTTCCTTGCATTCTGCAATAATCTTTCATGAAGTCAAAATTTATTCATCTAAATTACTTCGATTAGCAGTTTTAAGGTGCTCCAAAATTTTCATTGAACTTATAGAGCTGTATTCAAAAAAACTGGCAGTTAGATGGTAAGTCAAAAGCACATCGTAATAACTCATAACTTGAAACTGGCATGAGTACTAATATTTCTAATCTTGAGTAAGACTATGTTCACATAAAACCTCAACCTGATAATCAATATGAAAATTAGTGACTAGATATTCGATTGGCGTTTGCTCTCCATTCAGTGCTTCATTAGCATGTTGATCAAACCAACCTAAGCGCAGCTGTCTGTGTTTTCTGAATTCTCCTTTTTGCTAAATCAACTTAATCTTACAATGAAAGCAATAAAAATTTGGTTTTTAACTTAATTCTGCCATAAAAAACATCTTATTGTAACAAAAATAAATTATTTTTTGATTGTATCACAGAGTATTTTAAATGAATAACAGGTTTTTCATCTCTTAAATAATATAATCCATGCTTTTTGGCTAACTTCGTTAAGTAATAATTATTACCATTTGACGCTTTTCAAAATGGCAGAAGTATATTAACCTCTTGCAACATCAATTTTTTAATATGAATAAACACTAGTTATTTAATAACTCTTACTGGTTCGATTTTGCCGGACAATAACTTCAGTAGTGTTGATTTTCCTACACCATTAGGTCCAACAATGGCGATACGGGAATCCATGTCCACTCCAAAATCAAGGTTTTTGAATAGCAAATGGTCTTCGTAACCAAAAGTCACACCTGAGTGAAAATAGTTATTGCAGTAATAAAAACATAATGCATATGACATAAAAAACAGTATCGAAATTTTTTTTTACATCCCTTTTGATCAAAATTACAAAGAATAAAAGTGAGTAGTGGACTTGCCATGCAATCCAAGAACTGGAGGTGGCAGTTTTGGAGGGTCGGGAAAAGAGAACTTCACATTGTAATCTTTAACCTTTTGCAGTAATTCTACTGGAGCAGCATCAGCTGAAAGGAATCACTACTTATAAAATTTAGTATGAAATATGCAGCATATCTCAGTGCAGTAAATCACATAAAGCGATTAACATAAACAGTATGGTAGATTAAAAGATACCTTCATCCCCAATAATGGCAGAGGTCTTTTTAGCTTTAACAGTTTTGTTCTGCTTATTTTGTAGTCGGTTTTTCATTTCCTCAGTAGCTTGTTTCGAACTCTTGCCTTTTTTCTTCATTGCAGTTAACTGCTTCTGTTGAACTTCGAAGGCTTTCATATGTTCTTTCATCTTCTGGGTCTTCATTTTTTTGAATATAGCTATAAAATCACTTTCGTGAATTTCAATTTTCAACTTGGATGTTTCCAAGTATTAAGACTGCTTACTAAAGATAAGGGAACCTACAATAATTTCCTTTATAGTAATATAGTTTCTGGTCTTGCAAATCGATGATGTCTGTGCACACGCTGTCCAAAAAACCTTGGTCATGTGACACAATTAACAAAGTTTTTTTCCACGACTGTAAATAACTGAAAAAAAAAGATTTTGAGAAACAAAGATTAATTCATTAGTTCTAAACAGATCCAAGAAGATGCGATCAACAAATAGAAGTTTCTCAGATTTCTTTCAATATAAAAAATTTTAAGAGACTTCACACTCACTTGTCAAGCCAAATAACAGCATTTAAATCAAGATGATTGGTGGGTTCATCAAGCATTAATAACGTTGGCTCCAAGAAAAGGGCTCGGGCTAATGAAATACGCATACGCCAACCTCCCGAAAATGCTTCAACTGGCTAGAAAAGATGAATACAACAAAACGACAATTCTTACTAGTGTTAAGCGAAAAATAAACCAACTTTTTCCTGCATTGCTTTTGAGAAACCAAGACCAGCCAAAATACGTCGAGCCCTTGGTTCCGCCGCATCTGCATTCATACTTCTCAGTTCATCTCCGATCTCAAATATGCTGAATTTTCAAAGCCATATTTTTAACAAACTTTTGTAATAAATACAGTATTATGGAATCGAAATTTCTCAAATTAAAAATCAAATTTTTCAATTTTGTAACTTTAGGTAGTTATTGTTTCAAGTCAAACTGACCTCTTGCAAACGTTCACTCACAGAAATGTCTCCTTCTTCAAGCTTGGATGTTAACTGAGCTTCTTCTTCTAACAAAGCCAAGCGATATTTATCTGATTTAACGACTGCATCTATAGCTGGAGTGCTGTCAACTTCGATCTCTGAAAAAAAACTACTTAAACCCATGCACTTTATTTTAATGAAATTTTTAATGCCTTTTTAAATTCTAATTTTCAGAACTCCAAATTAAAATGAACTAAGAAATAGAAGCATTTGGCAAATTATATATCAAACCTTGTTCGCAATAGAGAAGATCAATATTTGGCGGTATGTCTAATTTTCTAGCAGCAATATGTTTTAATAATGTGGTTTTTCCCATACTGAAACATACTGAAATTAATTTAAATATAACAAACAGAAAATCATAAAAGAGAAAAGCACACCCATTCGGTCCAACAAGACCATAACGTCTTCCGAAAGCTATTGTTAATTCGGCTTTATGAAACAAAACTCGACCTTGGGCAGCGATATCAAAGTTTTCAACCTAAATAAAATTTAATCCTAAGTCACAGTTACTTAAATGGAACTGGTTATTCAGTCTAATCATGCATCGTTTTATTTTACCTATAACAAATATGCATCAGTAACGAAAAATACTTTTAATTTACACTCGAGGTTAATGAAAATTCTATTGATTCTCAACACAAACCTTGATATCAACAGCATTTTCAAGCTGATTTCGTTGTCCAGTAGATTTTGCTTGTTGTGAAACTGAGAACTGGCTACCTAGTTCTGCACCAGAACCGATTCCTCTGGTTCCTAAATGCTTTCAACATTAATTACAGCTTTAATGGGAGCCCTTAACTAATCATGATAAAGGTTTACAAAAAATCATTGTAGTTCACGAAAATTAGAGACAACCTGTTTTCGCAATGCTTTCATCTGTACTGGAATTTTCAGTAACACCACCCATTGCTTTAATTTCGCGCTCAAATTCATTCTTCTTCTGCAATTTTTTCAATTCTTTCCTACTAAGCTTCTTGTCTTCGTTAACATCTGAAAAAGTTAGAAACCTCAAATGTCTGTGTATGCACGAATAAACAGACACAAATACAGGAAGAATACAGAGAAAAAGTGAAAACAATCAACAGGAAACACTTCATCACATTCAGGATTCTCTCAGTTATATTGACAAAAACTTACTCCCAGGAGTGAAATTCCTATTCCCCTCTATTTCGCCCTTTCCAGACATTGTAATGTTTACTGGCTAGATCATGAAAAAATCACCACCTGAAAGCTATATATTATCTGGATGAAGAATAGTCCTTAATCTTGTAATACATCATTGAATCCGCTGAAAAGACGAAGGAATTATTGATTTCGATAAGCATGCCATGCCAAATAGGCCACACACTGAATTCAGTTACAATTTAAAAAACTTTGAAAAAGGAACAAATACGACATCGAATTTAGCATCAAAAACGGTAAAATCCTAACAAATATGCCCACAATTTTATTTCCTAATTTATTACTAATTATTAACAAAATGACAAAACACGAGATCAACAAATCAACAAAGATTCATCTGATATAAAACACATTTATAGTTATACAAATCAATTTTTCACAAATTTATAATAAAGCCGTCTTGATCCATTGAACCAAAGAAACATTCTGAAGCATTAAGCTATCAACTTCTTTCCAGCTATTTTCCACTTCATTCCGCAACTTCTCCAACATTTCACTCAAATCACCATTACCATTACCATGATAAACCCAGAGCTTATTTCGATGCACTTTCAAGAAAGTAGCTAAATATGCTTGCACCAGTTCAAAATCCCGATGACTTTGCAAAATCGTGTGGATCATTTTCAAAAATTGGCTAAATACCTGAAAGTAATTTAGAAAAGGTAATCTACCTTGTTGCAAATTTGAATAAAATATTAATTCCAGTATTTTTTAAAACTTTAATATCAGCATCATCCAACTCACTCTTTCAGGCAGTATGCGGATTTGAAAGTCTATTGCAGAGATACTCATCCATTTTAAAGATTCAAACGCACCAATGAAATCTGTATCTTCAGAAGCCCTGTGGAAGAAAAAATTTCAATGTCTAATTAGTGGATTAAAACTTAAAAATAACTCATTATCAGGGTCGGCATAGTAAGTCAAAGAAATTTAGATAGCCCTTCAATTATCAAGAAGAAAAAAAGCTTACTGAGACAAACTCTGTGCAAAAGAAGACTCAATCTCTAAAGCGTTTCGTTTCGCCATTAAGACGTTGCGTTTCTCAACATTATCCAAGGACTCATCTGTTTCTTCAAACTCAAATCCATGTAAAGTTGATACTGTAGGCAAAAAAAACGGTGCAGCTTTAGGTTTTCGTGCCGGTTCAATTGGTTTATTTCTTTCTCTGATTATGTCCAAATTTGGCAGGTTTAGCCAACGAGAAGGTGGTAATCCCGATAACGTGATAAGAGATTCAACCTTAATTGCTTTTATGATTAAAAATACTCTCTTCACATTTTTACGCAGAACTTGGCCATTTTTTTACGCAACTAATCGATAGACAACTCAAATAAAACGATTTATTTTAAAATGAGTTCCATGCGAACTCAATATTACCTGTTCCACTTTCTGCACTACATCATTTTCAACCTCCACAACCATTTCTTCCACTTCATCTGAATCTTGATTTGCTTCTTCAAAATGCCTGAAAAATAGTTATCAAGCTCACTTTAAAACATTGATTTTTTAACGATGAGCGGTATAAATATGCTTATTTTTATTTCATCACATAATTAGACTTATGTTTAATAACAAATATACTTTTGGGATGGTAAAGCAGAGGAGTCTTTCGGAACGTAGTTCAATGGTAGTGCTTTTAAATCCTTTAATGAAGTAAACAACGATTTATTAGCCCATATATATATACTTCTTTGCTGATAATGACAAGTGGCCAGATATTCTCCACCAGGTGAAAAATTTAGTGATGTGCAGTGCACTTTACACTTTATAACGTCGATAAGAACATTTGCAATAAGGTCCCAGATCTAAAATCATGATTACATTAATAGTGAAATAATTGCGAACTTCTCATAACTTTGAAATAATAAATCTTGAGTCCTAAAAAAATTTCCAAGGAAAAAAAATTCAAACATGAAAGAAACATACTCTGATAAATCCATTTTCATCAGCACTTACAAGCCATTTGCCATCAGGAGAAAACTCTAGAGCACTGAAAGGTGAGTCATGGATAGTTTCAATAATTCTGACAACTTTTCGACAAAAAATATCAATTATACCAATTGAACCATTTTTCACACCAACAGCTAATAATGAATTCTGAGCGTTCATTTTAACTCGTATAATGTATGATGGAACCCGTAGTTCAGCCAATAACTTTGTGCTGTGAAAATCCCAAAAGCGAATAAGTCCATTATGTTCAGCTGATACCTTTAAATTAAAACTAGCCAAAAAGTCTTCGTGATAAACTTTCAAAAGCATTTGAATGACAGAAAAAACTTATAATGAATTCGGAAAGTAGTCTAAAGAATGCTCTATCTTTTGAAACTGCAACAATTGACTCACGAGTTGCCTGTTAAACATATCAAGTGCTAATCCAACAACAGCAGAATTATGAGCCTTTCCAATCTTGTTAGAACACACAAACATCTTTCTGTGTAGTCCACTTTGCAAGTTAAAACAGTCAATATGACCAGTTGTGTAACCGATAACACCAAAATTTCCACATGATGAAACACATATTGAGGATGCACATGCAGATATAAGATCTGGTGTAGTAAGAAACCTTTTATGAAGTAACTAAAAAAATATGTATTGTTTAGGTACTATTTATTTTCACATCAATAAAATTTAAAATTTTCTATACACTTAACGCGACGTCTTTTTGTATTAACAACAAACTTTAGAGTAAAATTTATTGATCAAGAAGGTAACATAACGATTAAATTTTGCAACAAACAGACCCGATATGTTCCCAAAGCTTTTCTTCTAGTAGTCCATGTAGTTACGGGGGCTGTATCAATATGACGACACAAAACATTATCCCAAGCAGCTTCTCGCGCTAACCCAACATCTATCTCAATCACCGGCTTTAACTTAATGCTCTCCAGATCACGCTTTTTCTTTTTTGCCTTTGCTCTAAATATAAAATAATACATCATGTACCAGATATAATAATAAACACCACATATATGGACGGAAAATAATCCTACCTGGACATAATACCAGCGTTTCCTAATTTCTGTTTTTGTGTGTCACGTGATACTGAAAAAGCTCTCACAGAACCATCCAAACCAGAAGAAAGAACACTAAAATTTATTTCAGTAAGATTAAGACTGTTAGTAAAGTCAATTACTTTTGATTTATATATGATTTCAAACAGAAAGAGCGATAAAAAAGTTTTAATGAAGACATTGTTTCAGTGCTGATTTACAAAATTCAAATTTAAAAAACAGAACATAGGTTAAAAAACTTACACTTCACTGTCAATAAATTTAACTGCAGTAACCGGTTCAGAATGTCCTTCAAGCAAAACTAACAGCCTAGGCATTCCATCGCTCATGTCACTGATCCATGTTTTCAGTGAGTTGTCAACTCCTGCAGAAATCATTAATGATTCGCCAGAAATATAGTGTATTCCTGTGATTGAACCTCGATGTGCATCTGACAATTGTCCCAAAAGGGTACGTTTATTCAAATCCCAAACTGCTAAAGTGCCATTTTCAGAAGCTGTTGTCATTGTTTCTTCACCATCGGTTCTAGAATTACAATGACATTCAAAAATTGCTGTGCAACAACTAAAACGCAACATCCCACTGTGCAAGAACTAAAATGTACTTTTATCAAGTACAAGCGATGACAATAAAAATCTTTGCAGATGAAATGTCACGTTGCCATAGCATTATAAATAACGTGATAAAAAACCAGACCTAAAGGTAATTGATGTCACTAGGGAATCTTGCTTGTACGTGTGCAAAATCTCGTCAAATTTTATATTATGCAAGATGATCTGACCACTTCTTAAACCAACAGCAATGATGTCTACAGCTGGCGACTGTTCTAGTGCAGTTATTTCCGAATCAAATGACTTCCCAAATTCATGGATCAGTTTGCCCGTTTTTATATTAACTATCCGTAAAGTTCCTAAACAACAGTACTTTTTACTGAATTTCCAACAAAATTAATATGAATAAAAACTGAAAATAATATACCATAACTATTAGACCCTATGAATGTAATCTTCCAACAACCGAACAATCAAAGTAATCATTATTTCTGTTGAAATACTGAACTAACCTTGTTTAGATCCTAAAAGTATTTTATTGAGATAAGTAATTGGATGAGTGATCGCCGAGCAATCAAACCTTCCGCATCCTTCAATCAACACTAATTCATTACCATTTTCGACATCCATTACATATATTGTACTGTCTACATCTACAACTACTAGTACGTTGCCAAATGGCAAAATCCATCGCACCCGTTTGGGAAATTCTAACCACTGCTTAACTTGTCTAAAAATAGCCTACAACATAATCAACTGAAATTTGATTATCTTACAAAGCTTAAAACAGTGGTTATATCAAGTATAATTTACCTCTCAAGCTAATTATGAATGCTAAGCTCATTCAGTAAACTACAGTTTTAAGACAAACGAGTATAATTAAAGTACAAATCATGCTGACGAATAATGTGAAATTTTACAAAACTGAAAAAAAATTTTTCCATACCTCGACAAATATAGTACAGCTATTCGTGTACCAATTGAAGCATAAATATAATAGGAATCAGCAGCAATTACTTCAATTCGAGCAGGTAAAACATTGCTGACAGATACTATCCGTAAATGTTCACATGAATATTGTATAACAACATTATCAACTGCGCAAATAACATAAGTCTCATCTCTTTTCCTTGGAAGTACTCGGAAAGCCGGTGGAACAGATGAGCATATTCCCCCTAATGCTTTATATGGCAAAAATAATCGACTCTGATGACTTTCCATTATAGCAATCTGTAAGTTAAATTCAAACAATAAAATTATAATATTTTCTACTAATAACATGTTTTATAAACATAACTAGTAAAGTATACGCTTTTCTTTTATCTAATTAATACTATTTGTCAAAGAAATAACCATTTAGATTAAAAAAGTTAACTTCTGGGAGCACAAAGGATTGTAATAAATATTATGATGAATAGTAAAATATAGTTATATACTAATGGAAATGGATAGAAATGAAAATACTAATTACAAAATAACTTTAAATGAGGATTTTTGAGATAGACAAAAAGTAACTGTGAGAAGTAAAATATTTTACAATATATAGAATTCAATATTTTCATTAAGAAGGAACACCTGTTAAAACAATTTTAGTACCATCCAAACCGAACATTTGGAGCAGTACCTTGTCACCAAATTCACTCAGTGAAAGTAATAGACATTACACAACTAAAAGCAAATAAATATGACAATATTTGGATTGCAGTTACATTCCTAGAATGGTGTCATTGTTGCACAGCGAGAAGTATAAAAGCAAGTTGTAAAGAAAAATATTATTTGATTTTTTCTTATCATTTTGGTATCACAATGATAGGGTATAAATGCAAAAATTAATGAATCAATTGTTTTTCAGTCAAGAAAAACGAAAAATTAAAAAAGAGAATTAAAAAAGTGAAGGATTTGTTTTTGCATTTGTGATGCCAAAATGACGATTTTTTATTAATTTTATGTTTATCTTTTGAAAATTATTAGTTCAAAATGTATGTACCAAAACATTTGAAAACAAAGTGAGAATCATCAAATCTGATCTCAATAAATAACTTGAACAATTTGTAGTGTAGTACAAAAGTGTATATCCAGTGAGATAAAAAATTTTCAAATCGTCCTTTGTTTCATGCATTTTTTTAATTTACAAAACGAATTTCGCTTTGCACAACATTAAATATTTGACTAAAAATTCCTTCGAACAAAAAATTTGCATATTTAAAGTATGACAACTTTTACAGTAAATACAGAAAATGTTCAAACAAAAGACAGTAATAACTTGTGCATTTTTTAAAATCCATTACTGCTAGATTCATATCAACAATTTTTGCCGTCAAATGAAAATCAGTAGTGAGGCAGAAACGTACGCATCAAAATAATTATTGCCGTAAAATTTAAATTCAAAATTTAGTTGTAAGCTCACTTCACACTTTTAATTCTCAGATGAAAACTGCTTTGCAAAATTAAAAAATCTAACTTTTATTATTTTATTTTGCAGTGTTTTTTTTAATATTTTCAGAAACTGAAATTATTAAAATGGATAAAAATATAAATAGCAATATTAGAAATTCAAAATTCAGTTATTCTGACAATTATGTGTATGGTTTTTGGCGGTAAAAGAGAACAAATATGAGTATCAAGTATAGATTGGCTATATATACTTCTTATGTACAAAATTCTTTTTGTGAAAGCAAACTTTGTTCAATGGAAAGGACTGAAATATGCAAATGTATGCATACATTTGAGATAGAAACTGTAAACATTGAAATATTTACGACTCTGAGCAATATCCTGTAGTATTGATTAAATGTTCAACTTTTCGCATTAAGAATTAAAATTGATTGAAAACGACTAGCCTATCGAGAGAAGAAATCAAGCTTTAGGAAGAAAGTATGTAGAGAGTGATTTACAGTGACCTCAGTACGAATTATAGGTCATTCTCTTTTATTAATTATTGCTTGCTATAACTTTCCTATTATCGTAGCGTGCACGAGCGAGTTATTCCGTTTATGATTTCGCGCTTTTTTGAAAAATTAGAAGCGCAAGTGCGATATGTAAATTTTCGTGAAATAAATAATTAATAAAATTGTACATTTCAGATGCAAAATTTCACGTATAAGAATTTTTATGCTTGAACTGTAAAACGTATAACACGTGTAAGGATATGCTGAACAAGAGAGGGAAATTTCAAGCAGATTTTATATTTTATTGCATTTCTCTGCATACTGACGAAGGCACTAACTGTAAGGCAAAACTCGTTCCTTCTCTCCTAGTCGATTAATTCACTCTGTCTACACTTTCACTTCTCAATTTTATCACTCTTATTGTGAGTGTTCAATAAAATGTTTGCTTTATAAATAACTGATTTTAGGTAAGGAGCTCAGATATACTGGTTATTAGCATATGCAAATGATATATACGCTGATTTAAATCATATAATCAATACTAAATCATATATTTTTATGTTTACTTACTGTAATTAATTTGGTTTTTAGTTTTTAATTTAATTTCAATTATTTAATTTTCAATCACTTTATTTAATTTCATTTTTATTTTATTTCTTTAATTTAAATATGCTATGTTTAAAATTTTTCATCATTTTCTTACTTTTTGAATTACATCAAAACTAAAAATGCTTTTTCTTTTTTGCATTTCTTGAGTACTCTATTTCAGATTTCTAGTACTCATATTCTTTCATAACTTTAACTTTAACTCAAAGTATTATAAAATACAACTGATAATTTAATTTGTTTACGCATATTTTTGTGTAAAATTAGCTCCAATAATTCACTATTCATTTCATTTTGCATATATGGAGAGGACAGAGAAGAAAAGTAAGTAAAAATGACGTTAAGAGAGAAGGAAAGGAGAAAGATGGATACAGTGCATGATTATTGTCCTCCATTAAATATATCGATTTATCGAATGATCACTCGAAGAATATTTAATTTTCGTAATTTTCTGTAATTCATTTTATTTATATAAATCAATAATAATCAAATTAGTCAATCAAATTTAACGAATCAATTTTGCTAAATAAAAAGTAAATATTCACTGTCGAAAATAAAATTAATTAATTTTAAATCAGAGAAGTTAAAAAGCTTATGATTTAAATCTATGTTACATCATCAATCGATTCATAACTGATTCATCTATAATACTGATAAAAAATCTAAACCATTTGAAATCTATTCAAATATGTCAAAAAGTTAATTAAATTATTGCTAATAATAGTTTGCAAAATTTATTATTGCGTACAAATTTTATTACATTTAAAATTAAGTTTTAATCAGTTTTTAATTAATTTTATTTAAAATGTAAATAGTTTCAGCTTTATTTTATATCAGAATCAAATCATTCCACTTCAACTTCTTTGCTTATGCTTTGTTAGCTGTGAAGAAAGCATCGCTTGCCTCTCTCTAAACACCGAATTCTTTTCATTCTTCAAGACTGTACAATTTTTTCTTCAAAACTATCAATTTTACTACAATTATGGTAACAAATCGATTGATTGATCGATAATTTGATCAGTTGATCACTTAGTTTGTATTTGCGTATCACAAATTGGTCATTCTTACATGTGCAAATAATTTTATTGAGAAAGTTTTGTTTGCATTGTTAAAAGAATTTATACTTTCTGTTAGGGTTTGAAGTACTGAAGCAATGATTGGCGTAATCGCACCATATCTTACAAAATTTCATCGAAACTATCAGTCGAACGATGTCATTGATCGGATCAATTATCAGTACACTACGATAATTATTGCACTTATTGCATTCACTCTAGCAGCTACTCAGTATGTTGGTAAACCGATTCAGGTAAATTTACATTTAAACTTGTGATAATAATAATAACAATAATAATAATAATAATAGCAATAGTAATGATAATAATAAAGTTTATCACTATTATTATTAAATATTTAATATGAACTATAAATTAGTAGTTATATATCGAATGTGTAAAAATTTTGTTGACTATACTATTAAACAACTTTCAGTGTTGGGTACCTGCGCAATTCACTGGAGCATGGGAAAAGTATGTTTTTATCATTTGTATAAAATGTTGAAAAAAAGATCGTTAAAAGAAAGTTAAAAATGGGAAATTATATTTTATTCAGTCATAATTTCTTTATATTTTTGACAAAATTTGCCCATTTTTGTTGCATTATCTTCTTTTTTAATCTAACTTTAGTTAGCATTTTGGCTTAAAAATGTGTAATGCTTATTAATTTAATTACTATTGCAGTAAAATCTGTTCTGACCTTCTTCTGATATTCTATATAGCGTAAAATGAACACGCATTTGTACTGTTTAGATACGCTGAAACTTATTGCTTTATCAAAGGAACTTATTATATGCCTTTGGATGATCAAATACCACAGGAATATTCACATAGAGACGATTCGGTCCAATAATTATTATTTTCTCTCAGATTTTCAAAAAAACTTTGGAAAATTATAGACGAATATTCATTTTTTTCGAATTTGGATATATTTTCTTTACTAAAAAAATTTTGACGTATTGACATTATTTTAAATTCACGTAGCTTCCAAAGTCACATTTACTTCCAATGCTACATCTTATGCTAGAATCTAGTTACATGAATTTGTAGTGTTTTTGTACTGTCATAATATGTATATATTGTCTGTAACAAATACTGACGATGAAAAAATTTGTTTTTTACCTCAGTACTTTCAAAATACGAATGTAAGTAATATAGAGATCAATCAGTTGAAATTTCTTTAACTTCAGTGTATTACTTTACAAATTGAATTTTTGAGTAATATACATATTTTCCATGATTACAGTTTTTTGATTTTTTCAAAAATACGATTTGTTACGTTAAAGACAAGTTTTAAGTTTTTGTATTAGTCTAACTGGATCAGTCAATAAGGATATTTTCTCATCTACTCCAACTTTTTCTGATATTCTGTGTAGATAGAAATATATATAACAAATTCTAAGTATATAGGTTTTTCGAAAAATCAGGAAAATCTATATTATCTTTAAAAATTAAGAAAATTCGTACTCTCTTTAAAATAGCTTATATTTGAGTGAACGAATTTCTCTTCAGATCTCATTAAAGCATCAAAATATTTAAGCTTTTTAATAGTTTTTGAAATGCTTAATTTAAATTTTTATTTCAGGTCATCGGATATTATCAGTGGGTTCCAGTTGTTTTAGCATTACAAGCATTTCTCTTCTACTTCCCGTCTGTTGTATGGCGTATGTTTAATAATCGTACAGGTCAGTATTATTATTTATTTAATGTTTTGATCCAAAAATTTACAAAAAAAAACGTAAAGATAAAAAGTTGATTTCTTCAAACATTTTGTTCATGTTGAGCAAATATATGCATTTTTTTAATATTCAAAAAATAATTGTTGCAGGCATTAATGTGAAAGGAATTTTAAATTCTGCGGCATTAGTCAAAAAAAAGTTTGATAAATCATCTCGTCTTGCGCAGGTGCAGAATGCTGCAAATCATTTACGTGATGCATTAGATATGCAACAAAATCTTCGAACAGGTCTCGTTTCTTCTGTAAATTACGTTTCAATGTAAAAAATATTATAATAAACTAATAATTGCTACATACTTTTTTCAAGTAAAAAAATGCACTTCATTTGTAAAAAAATTAATCTTTCGCATTAAACTGTTAAAACTTTTATATTATTATTCAATCGTAAAAGATTTCGAATTGTTACTTAGTCTAAGTATTATTTTGATATAAGTTAATAATTTACTTGATATCAGTTTGACTAAACTAATATACTTCGGAATATCTGTTAATTCGACATGCAAAAGTTTAAGATAAATTTTTTTAGGAACATTTGATTGTCATCAATTTGGTAAACGAAGTGGAATTTACCTAGTTGTATTGTACCTTTTTACAAAAGTATGTTTTCCACTTAAATATTTTAAGTATGTATTGAAAGGTAGTTCAAATCTTTTAAGTTTTGCTACCTGTTACTTTTGTATTCTTTTATATTTTCTGCTTATATTTTGCAGTTTTCACTTTGTCTTATTAATATAGGTTTTGTATGTGGTGAATGTAATATTACAATTCGTCATTCTTAATGCTTTTCTTGGACCACAATATAGTTTCTGGGGTGCAGGTATTCTTTCGGATATTTGGAATGGAAAAGAATGGAGCGAATCAGGACATTTTCCTCGGGTTACTATGTGCGACTTTCATGTTGGTTAATAATCTTAAATTAGCTTTTTTCTTGCTAAAATTACTTCATGAATTTAAACTTCTTTGATTATTGCGTCAAATTTGTGATTTCACAAAAAATAGACTTAAGTATATGTTGAAAATATTGTTTGTAAAGCTTTCCTATGAAAAATACGTATTAATTTTCAGGTTCGTGTTTTGGGCAATATTCATCGCTGGACTGTGCAGTGTGTTCTGATGATTAATATGTTTAATGAAAAAGTTTACATTTTCTTATGGTATGTATGCAATCCACAAATGTATCAAAAAAGTTCAGCATATAATGAAATCATGATTTTTGCTGACATTTTTAGGTGGTGGTTTGTACTGATTGGAATCTTATCAGTATTGTCATTACTCTATTATTTGCTTGCCTTAGTACTTACACCAAATCAACGACAGTTTGTAACTCGTTATCTACGGTGCGCTGGTGTTATACAAGATTTTAAAGATGCAAAAACGGAAAAATATGTTCATGATTTTACCAGAAAGTTCTTGAGACCAGATGGTGTCTTCATCTTGCGTCTTATACAGGTATTTTAGTTTTATAACAAAAAAGTAGCCACCACATGTGCAATCACTGCAAATATATACTTGAATTCGATTATATAATTTTCAAAAGATACCGAGTCTTAACCATTAAGCAGTAGTGAAGCAGAGAATTTTCCTAATATTTTTATCCTTTCAGACAAATGGTGGTGATTTACTTGTCGGTGAAATAGTTAACGTAATGTTTGAACGTTATAAAGCTCATATGGAAAACAGAACCTGTGAAGAAGATAAATCGGAAACACCAGCTGTTACCGATAGTCCATACTCGGATGGCAATGACAGTACGTTGGAAAGATAATTTTCCAACCTATTAGACAGGATATATTCACTTAAGACCATTTCAGAGTTTTGTTGCTGCAGACAATAGAACTCTGAACTTTCAATATCTTGACTGAAATAGTTCCTTGTCACTTGAGTTCAAAAATCTCAAAACAGTACTGACACTAAAACTAAACTTCTGCATATTTGTACATTTAAAATTTAATTTTCGACCAAATCAAAATTGTAGAAGTGACAGTTTTGCACCATATGTTGTTTTCTGAAATTATCATTTATCTCTTTTTAATTACTGAAGAGCGTACTGACTTACTCTCAGGATTACTCCAACCATACCACTCCTCTTTCCGGTGATCTGATAGATATAAAACCTCTCAATTTTTTTGTGCATTTGTGATTTTTTTTCTAAATATATAGCAACCCTAAAATCACTGTATTACATCAGTGCTGTTCAAAACCGTGACTTTATTTCATTACTATTCAATCTACGAGTAGTAATACTAAGTAGTTGCGGTTTTCGATTACATTAATTATTACAGTTTGTTACTTTTCTCAGTAAATTTATATTTTCATTGAAGTTTGTGAATCATTAAGTCTCATTTAACAACCAAAACTTTATTACTTTACTTAATATATCTATACAACTATTTCTAACTCTTTTCACCTACTTTTAATTTTTATAATCAATAGTTCCTATTTCAGAAAAAAAGGGAATTAGCGTTGATATTTTTTTCTGTAAGAATAAATATACGTAACATAAGTGTAATTTCTGACCCTCAATGATCGGAAAATTAATTTAAAATGTATTTCACACAGTCAACGATGACTTTGCTCCAAGAAATCAAAGATTTTTTCAGTATATCCATTCTGAGTAATCAAGTCTTTTTGAGAAGAACATAGTTAAAAACTTTTATCGTTTTTAATTGCTTTCATATGTAAAAAAAGACATTATTTTGACATAAAGACGAAATTTCCATCATTGCGAATCCCTTCTAAAAGCTTCACTGGAGAAATTGAAAAGATGACGGCTAGGTCTTCTAGTGAACGGGTTCCGTCACATAATTTCGCTATTCTAAAAGAATTGTAATGGATCTACTAAAGATGTTGTTTACTATACGTGTCCCAACAAAGAAACCCGAAATTCTGATGAGAGGCAGGAATCAAAAATGAAATAAGAAAAGATTCGCCTCGTTACGAAATATTTCAAGGCTAACACGGGGATACAAGTGTAAGAATGTAAAACAATGAATATAAAAGGCCAGAACAAATAACATTCAATCCTTATTGATTATAAATTCATGTTGAGAATGAAAAAAGCTTACCTGCGTGAATCATCCTTCTTAACAGAAACTGGATAAATGCATAACTTGCGGACAAATCCATGACAAATGCCAAACTGCACCATACGTCTTTCATCAACATTATATTGTCTGGGAAACATCCTTTCGCACCAATCTTTCATTGTTAAGCCTGTCTGAAAACGAATAAGAGTTGATTTTGACTTGATAATTTGATACCTCCAATTGTTTTAATTAATTAGAGAGCTACTGATTAGAAATAGTATACTTTTAAACTGGCATACAATCGAAATACATCAGAAAATATTGGTTTTGAATTTGAATATCCTTCTCTATTGTTCAATGGTTTTACAAAGTTTAAGCACGCCTGAAAAATGTAAAGTAAATGTTTGCGGACTGCATGATACACAATGATTTTTGAAGCAAGTTAGTTCATTACTGCAACAAAGAATGACACTTTTATTATACTACAGATGATTATAACAAATTAGATTAGTCTAATTTGTTACAAAAACAGTGACACTATTTGCTCCAACTTAATATGGAATTATAAATTAGACACAATTTGCGAATAGCTTCTCCTAATATGTCTCATTGAGTAATTGATAGAATATAATCTGATTCTCAATAATCGAGTTTTTAAATTAAATAAAACTGAATGTAAGTCAGTACGTACTTCAATCAAATCAGGATTTTTATAAAAATCATGCAACTGCTCCGTAGCAACATACGTATTAGCATACATGAAAAGAGGTATTAATGTAAGGCATCCATAGAAATGCAAATTACGAACACATCGAATTACCAAATCAACATCTATATGAACCAACAAAGCTATTTCTTTGATACAACGCACACCATTCACTTTAGGACAAATCTACAAAGTCAATAATTTAAATTTAAATTCGCAGCACTTACAAACCTGCTTGTCTTCATTTATTTTAAAAACTTTTAGATATAGAATCTTAATTTTTGATAAAAAAAGTTTTACTAATGTAGCTAACACCATATATAAAAAGAATTCTATCTACCACTACCAACTGATGCTTTCCAGGAACGAAACTAAAAAAACATTGTCTTCAGCTCTCTCTTGTACAGTCGGTGACTGACAACGCAAATTTTTTTCAAGCACTAAATAGCTCTAGACTTTAGCAGTAAATATGAAAATCATCTTTAACTGTAACAAAAGTCGCTGCTGATAAGACGATACAGTAGATCCAGAGAGAAAGGACACTACCAAGCTTATGAGGTTTTTTAAATCACTCATTTATTCCAAAGTATATTAATTTCAAGCCTATTTGACGCTTGAAATTACGACCAAAAATAAAATTTCTGGTTCTTTTTTTTTCGGTTACGACTATTTAAATCAAACCTTTTGAGAAAGAACATCCATTTTCGGGATATGATTCAAAGTGTTAGGAGGTGGTACTCGAGTAAACATCGGCACCATATAAGGCTCAACCTGTAAGCAGTAACTCAAAAGATTTGAGTTCCAGCACTACAAGAAATTACAAAACTTTGATTTTATCATATTTTTTTAGCATCAATTTCAAACTGTTTTTGCAATATATTTAATTTTCTTGAAAACAAGAAGAGGAAAATCAAAAGCTCACTTTCGGTGGCTCGACACCATGAAATGATGGACATAATTTCAAATAGACAGTTGTCTGACCAGTAACAGGAATTTTGCACTCACCTTAAAACTTTTATAAGAAAAACAAAAGAAAAATTTCGTAGAACAATCATATAATGCAAAACGATTTTCAGTGATCGACGTTAAGAAAGTTAGAAAAAAATAAATTACAGCCGAATCTAATTAACACCAACTAGTTCAACAAACTATACGATAATATGAACTGCACAGAACTCTTTTGCAAATAATCCAAACGTTTTTAAAACAAGAAGAAACGAGACAAACTATCGCCTTGCAGAAAAAGTTAGAATCTTTAACAATTTAAAGATTTTTACTATTTTCAAGAAAAACCAAAAAATTTGCCGTTTTCATGAAGACCTTCGAATATGCTAAGCAATAATGAAGGAAGTTTCTTCTGCGATTTTGTCAGGAAACGTGTATCCTAAATGAAATTAATCGAAACTCTACGTCATTTGAAAATTGAAAAATCTCGAGAACTGAGAAAGCACTATTTACTTTTTCCATTTGTGTAAGATAAGCTGCACATTTCTGCACCATCGGTTCGTATATATAGTCAATATGGCTGCTTTTATCAACCACGAAACAAACATTAAATATATACCTTCCGCGAGCATATATATCAGACTCTGAAACTTGAAGTCCTGATATTAAAAATTTTTCCACATTACTGATAACCTAATTCTGAACTTTAAAGAAAGAAAGCAAAGGAAAATTTATTGATTTCTGTTTAGTAAAAGACTATATTTTTAATAATTTTTTAAACAAAACAGTTGCCAATCATTTAATAACCTGATGGTTCTACTTATTCAAGTTATGAAGATAACATTTCAAGTTCTAGAAGAAAATACGAATTAAAAAAAACTCTCACCAATACCAACAGGATGTCCCATTACTTTGTACACTTTTCCATCACTGTTTTCAACATGATTTACTTTGATTAAACGATGAAAGAGCTCTGGCTTAGGGATAACTGCATTTGAAAATGTATCAAACGTCTTAGTATCAAAAAGAAAATTAGGTACCTATAAATATATGATAGAAATATATAACTATTTATATATGATGAAAATACAAAAGAACAATTATTTCTTATGGTTTTTTGACATTAGATTTTAATGATGCAAATAAAACTATAGAAACACACTATAATTTTAGAAAAAAAATTCAAAAAATAACTCCATATATAAAGTCAATTTAATCATTATGAATATAAATGGACTGGATTGATAAATCTTCATGCTTACTGAAAAGATAATTAAGAAAAGCTTTTTAAAAACCTGTATTTTGATTACGGGACCTTTGTCTGCATCAAATTCAGCAAAAATTATTGCTTTAAGTTTAGGTACATCAACAAGTTGAGAATAAGTACTAGTTGCAGAGTACATTCCGGTTTCATATATTATCTTTTATTCTTTATGACTAAAAATCTTATATTTACATCAGTTCTAGAAGTAACAATTAATTAAAGGCTTAAAATATTTATTTTCCAGTCTTGCTGACAAAAGGTGAAAAAAATTTAATAATTTTTTTTCGAAAATAGTTGCTACATACCTTTACGGCTACACTACTTTCTCCGATTTTTGTGGCTTTCGATGCAAAAAAAGAATCATACAAGCGGTAAATAGAAGCCCAATAGAAGCACCCAGCAATGAACCAAAAACGCATGGAATTGGCCAACGCTTAAAAAACATTATAAGAAATAGTTGCAAAAAAAATAAAAATCATTGTCAAACTAAATTTCTTAAATCTTTTTATTTAAGTGTATCTGCGCTAGACATGCAAGGTCTTATACACAAAAACTGATGAACAAACTGATTTTATAAAATAGCCAACGAAAATGCAAAATATTACTTGCCACCAACGATCCCAATCAAGAGGAATCACGAAAGCACCGAACCAAGCACCCCAAATACCACCTACAGATATGCGACGAGCGAGCGAGCACTTAAATGACAAATGCCTAAAGATAATAAAAGATATGATTTGCACCTGCTCCTGAAGTTAGCTCTTAATTAATTTGAGTACAAATGTGCTTAAGATTAAATACTGATCTCAAATACTCCAAATTCATTAGATTTACTGATTAGATCAAAATTTTGTCGTTTTTTAAGATCGTATATTTTTTCCGACTTATTTATTTCTTTTACATTATAGAAAAATTGTTCCTATGGACTGATGAAAAATGTCAACTGCTGCCTAGAAATCGCGTACAAAAATGACCTTTTTTCAAATAAAATTGTATCCAAATGTTCAACGTTTTCTGCAACTGACAGTAAAGGTAAAACAACCACCAAAGTAAACACACAAGAAAAAAAAAAGGTAGCTCCAAAATGACTGAAAATAAAAAAAAATTGATAGCAAAGTTTAAAGTGTAAATTATTAATAAGTCAATACACTAAGTTAGGATGACAACAAAAATAAATTTTACTGTATGATAAAAATTGAAAACCAGAAACCTTAAAAGTGGTGCACCCCAGAGAACTGCGATAGCGTAGACAATAGGTACACTTAATACAGTGTAACAAACAGTGTGCTGAAATTTCATAGCATTCCTTGCTGCAATAAAAATCACAATTAATAGTGACCGAATTATATTACTCACAAATGTTTAACGAAACAATATGGCAGTTTAATAAGTAAGCAATAGCGCATACAAAAGCCAAACAGTTCTGTTTGGTAAAATTTGCTACATTATATTTCAAAGATGGAAGAAATTAAAAAATCACAAAATATGATTTAATTCTATTAAAATGATAAGAATGCACGAAAGTCTAAAAAAATCTTATATGCCTCTTTATTATATTTGTAGCATTTAATGCAATAAATCTATTTCCTATAAAAGTATTTCTTAAACAAAGCTACTGAAAGTACGGTAGCATGTAAGAAAAAATTGAGCAAATAGAATTTGTTAAAAATATTCAGAAAAAACAAATAGGTGCTATTCCGAGATGGTTTGGAAAAAGGAAAGGCTACAGCAGCTGTACGATATCCAAAATATCAACAGATCTTATTTAAATATATTTATTAAATTAATATTATTAAAATATACGCTGATTTTCAGCACATTGTATGGTCTACTATTTATTTTACAGTTTTTCAACATCAAATACTTTAAAATCTTAAAAAGCAAATTTTATAAATAATTTATAATTTCGTCATTACTGTTTAAATAAATGCTATAAATTCACAATAGTGACATAACAATACTGACAGAAAACCGTACTGAAAACAACAATATCTATTTGTATTCTCTTTGAATGACTATAGTTATTTTACTTTGACAGGTCAAGTATGACATATTTCTATCCCAATACTCGCGGTAATGAATACTAATTACAAATTGTAAATAGATTCCATGTCTAATAATGTTTGCTACAAATTGTATTATAACTTTATAGCTATTACTTCGTTTAAGGACATGCATATAAGTTAAAATTGGTTAGCAAACATTCTTAGACATGGAATCTATTTTTACAATTAAAAATTAAAAAATATTAAATTCTAAACCAAATATTTACAGCATAAACTGAAATTTTCATTTATTATTACGCAGCATTTTGATTTTTTATTTCCTTATGAATATAATATTTAGGAGAACTTTAGGAATTTAATTCTCGAGAATAGAAGAATTGAACTTATAAAAATGAGCTGAATTTGAAATGATTTCACTATTTCATATATTATTTAAAGTAACCTAAAACTAATACTTTTCACATACAAACAGTCCTTTCCAATATCTCTTAACTAGATATCAGATAACTGTGAATGTAACAAAATTAGATAATATAACATGACAAAACGTTTATTATGGAATTTACGTTAGAATTTTCTTTCTTCATGTTTGATATCAGTTGGAATTCAATGAATGTAAAATAAAACGTCAGCAATCCGAAAAATTCATATCCAAAATATATGTTTGATTCTGATTTTACTGATTTTTTTGCACATTTTCCAATCATATTTTGAAGATAATTTGATTCCATCAAATTTAAACGTAACAAATATGACACCAAAAAAAAGCCTTACAGACGATAAATTCTTTACATTTTCACCTTTGTTTAAATTTACTCATAAACAATTAATTAGCACTTCAACAAGTATATATTCAATTGGCTAAATGAATGAAATATCAAAAAACAACGTAATATTTTTGATTAAAAAATCATTCATTATTAGTTCATCTCGAATTGATAATTTTTTTCAATTTAGATTACCCTTGAAAATAATCTTCGTAATTGAGTATCAATTCACAACATATTTATTATTTTAGCCAATTTTAGTCTCTTTAATTTAGTACAACTCATAATAAATAATGCTTGCAATTCTTTATGAACTGACCATGCATTCGTTAATTTTAATAATACAGACAATAGTTCTGCTCGTACATTCTTAATTACTTTGTTAACATTTTCAAAACTTACTATAATGTTTAAAAAAGTAAAGTAAAAAGTTTGATTTTCTTTTTGAATGACTTAATCACTCGATGGCATTTATTTTCTTTAGATATTTTCCACAAAACCAAAATATTATTCAATGCAAATAATTTATTATTGAGATTTATGCTTGTAAAACAGTGATATGATCCTCCCAAAGTGTTATTTACCTAAAATTATTATTCTAATCTTTCTTAAATGTTTTACGATTATTAATCACAATTTTTAAATACTGTAAAATACGAATTTTTAATTTTTCAAGAACTTGAAGTAAAAATTTTTTGTGATTTTTCAAAAATCGATGGAAGATCATATTTTTTTCAAAACTACTAAATTTTGTAATAATTTTTACTGACAATATATACTGATAACATGAAAAAATTTTTTACCCGTTTCAAAGCACGCCATACCAAGTTTTTTGTTATTGCATTGATATTGACAATGACAGCTCCTGTAATATTTATTATCATTATAATTATTAATATTTCAGTTAATATTAACATTGTTATATTAATTGTCAGTAATAATAATAAATAATAGCAATGACTAGCATTAATACTAATAATTAGTCATAGTAAGCAACAATGGTAATGACAATATATACTGATAACAATACTTTCTAAATATTTTTGTTTGCTGTATAATATTTTCTTTTCAAAAATGTCATCATATTGTAATATTTGCTATGAGTACATACACTTTGGAAAGTAAGTTGACGTGAAAACATCTTGTTATCTCATTTATTATATTCTCTAAACATAAGAAATCTCATTATTTATTCCTTCTGTGGCTTGTTAGTTATTTTTTTAACTTGATAAAAGAAAGTTAAATGCTAATATTAATATTAATATTTACAGTATTACTAAAATATTTAATTTTATCAAAAAAGCACATGAAAAAAAATCTACACTAATCTTCCAAATTTTTTAGAGAAAAATTAGACTCAAAAATATTGAAGTACATAAATGTCACCATTACTGTTTACTGTGTTGTTTAATTTTGCAATTATTTCAACTACTTTCGTTGATGGGCACATTGTTTCCAAGCATGCATCAACAAATATTACATCAAAATTTTTCTGACCTATTAATATTAATATTATTATTATTATCGTTATTATTATTATCATTATTAGTATTAGTATTGTTGCAAAAAGAATTTCAAATACAAAAATAAGCGATTTTTTCTAATTATGATGTGTAAAATACTGTAAAATATTACTACTGCTTACTCATTAATTTTCTTAGCTAAACAATTTTGATTGACTAATGAAGCAAAATTTTCCAAATATGTATTAATCAAAAAGTAAAGAATCAAAAGAAGTTTTCTGCTAAAATTTCGACGAGTATAACTCAGTCTTGCAAACTTTTTGCTGTATTATAATCATTTTATTAACTTTTAATATTTGGCAGCACTAATAATATATGAGTCAAATAATCATGTAAATTATATGATAACAAATATCATATTTGAATATCAGAGATATAAAGATACTTATAATTTGCTAAAATTGCAAAAACTCAAGCAATTATTATTCGTTTACCGGCAGTCGAAAAATTGATACGATTCCAAGTAGGATTTACAAACCAAATTTTGCTTAAATACCAACTGCTTTCTTCCAATATGAGTTCATTAGTTTCTACCTAAAAATTCACTAAATTTTATAACAAGCTATAATCTTATCATAATCACTGCTCTTAAAATTGTAACACATATCATATTAGATAATTTCTGTTCACTATTTATCTATATTTTTTTTTCAAAAATTACCAACTTAACGAATTTGACTGAAAAAAAATTATTTTATAGAACTGAATCACAACAAAAATAGGGTAAAAATTACGTCAAATCTTGATACTGAAAAATAATTATTTTTTTGGTCAAAATTTAAAAAGTTTTCAATTTACCTGATGAAAGCGATGAATATAATTAGCAATCGTTCGAGCTCCAAGTCCTATAAATAATACACATGCATGTTCAAGTGTATTATTAGACTGACGCAAGGAATGCGTGAGAAATGGAGCTTTCAGCATAATTTGTTGATATTCGGCTGGTAAAGCTATCGTTGCCCGACATGAAGCTCGATAAAAAAGTGGTATCCATAACTTCCATCCTAAATTTTCATTTGTTTTTTAAATTCTTTTTTTGAAAAATGAAAAATTCACATACTTATTCTTGAAAAATGGACTTCTTTTTTTATAAATAATATCTTTTATACCTACAAATTTAAGTAAAAATGATTTTTTTAAGTAAATAGTTTTTGGATTTAGTCAAGTTTCGTTTACTTATGATATGTAAAAATACAAACATATAATGACTTAATTTTTTTCTGCAATTAATTAGATGGATAAATATTTTGTTAAATAACGAATTTCAATTTTTTATTATAAAAATTTTTTAAAAAAAAGCTTCTCTTTTATTGTTATTTTTTTTAATTTCCATTAAATTATTAGCATTTTATCTCTCTAGCAAAATTCAAAATAATTTTTCTG